CGGTGCTTGGGAGGGGCAGGATGTCACTGAAGAAGAGTGTCCAGGGGTTTGGGGGCCCCATCCCACTCCAAGCAGGCCTGCCTACCACGTGGAGGGTGGGCCTGCTCCCCAGGTGAGACTGCTTTTGCCTTTTACTTCTGAGCCCTGCGTCCCTGTCCCTCCATGGTGCTTGGCATTTGCTGAGACCTTAAGGAAGCATCCACACTTGGGTTCCTGGGCGCTCCATGCAGGGCCCATGACATCCCAGGGATGGAAGAGAATGGACTCGCCCTTCCGTGGCACTAGACCACCAGGGTCTTGTGGCCGTAAGCTCGTGCCCAGATCAAAGTCCTTCTGGGGAAAACAGCTGCCTTTTGTAAGAGCTGTCAGTTTTACAGGCCCACCTTCTGCAGCATGGAGACACGAGCCCGTCCTAACAAGGGTCTCTCTTGATTTGGCATGTTCCTCGTATTTTGCCAAATTGAAGGGCTTATGGCTCCTGGCCTCACAACTCCTTCAACAGATGTCACCAGACCCCAGGGAAAAGGCCACTTTTTGCAGTGTTCCAGTAGCCTTGCGTGAACGCCAGCAGGGCAAATGGGATGCACGTTCTTTGCCTGGGCGTTTCTTTGATTCTGCGCAGAACGGAACTGATGGCGCAGGCACGCCTCCACGCTTCCTGAGTGCCAGCCCGGGTGGAGGGCCCTGGGGAGGCCCTTGGGTGCCCACCCGCTTCGCGCGAACAACGGCTCGGCGGTGACTTCACATGCGACGTTGACATTTCTTTTCTCCCCTTTTCATTTGTTTTCTTTTCCTTTTTGTTTCCTCTCTTCTTCCCCTCTGCCCTCTTGCTCTCGGGATGCAGCCAAGCGCAGAGCATGGAAACTAAACCGTGTTGGTAGCCTGCGAAATATATACAGCAGCAGCAGCACCAACACCGAAGGTACGCCCCCACCGCCCGCCCGCGAGGCCGACTCGCCCAGAGCCGCATGCTCCCGCTCGTGTTTGCAGAGTCATCCCTGTGGTCTTCTCATCTTTTTGTTTGTGTGTTTTATTTTACCATTCATGTTCCTTTCAGCTTACTTAAATTTTGACCTTTCCCTTCAGTCGTAGACTAGCGATGTTTAAATTACTTCGGAAACCTATTTTCTCCTCTTTTTTCTTTTCCTTTATACATGTGGGCACTCAATGTAATATTTCCCAAGTTATTACAGTTTTTAAAAGTGTTAGTATCAGGTGTAATGATCTGTAGCCAAATACAATAGTGTGCCGTGACATTTAAGTAACAGTCTTAATTTGTTTTGTGGAAGCATTCTCCATAATGCTCTCTGCAGCTCTAATCCGGAGGCAGGCAGGCCCGGGCCATTTGCATGGGCTGCTCTCGCTTGTAAATCCTGTATATCGTTGTGTTTCTAAAGGTCGTCTGGTGCCAAAGTTCACAAATTGACTCGCGTTGCTTTTTTCACCGAAGACAGCCGTCATTGCTTTTGTATAATAGCAGATTGAATTTCCCCCACCTTCATTTGAACAACACAATTATAAATTGCCTTTTTTTTATGATTACAAATGTCAAGGGTCAGAATTATTTTGATGCCAGGCAAGGGAAAACCACCAGCATCCGCCCAAGCACATGGATGGGAGGCTGGTGTGTAATACGCGGGATGCAAAATAGGTCACAATCCAGCGATCTCGGTCTAATAGGGGGGAATTTTTTTTCACTTAAGTGCAAGCCAAATGGGTCAAGTAATCGCAAGCTCGTGCCCTAACACTAATTGACTTATTTGGGGATGATTATAACTGTAATATTTTTCTTAATGTCACTGTTTTCTGGGCTGTTGATTTTAGCGATTGCCAAGCTGTGGCATTAAATCTCTTGTAAATTTTAAATTGCACGCTATTTCTGTAAACAAGTCCCTCTCTTCACAGCCCGGTCATTAACCTTTGCTGATTTATATCACCGTCCTCTTTTTCTCCCTTTCACAATTACTCCTGTCTCGCCACTGAAAGGCCTGCTCTCAGCCAGAGAAAAAATGAACCTGGAAAACAAAACTGCATTTCACTACGGCTTGTTAAAGGGCCATTTTTTTAATCATTTTTTTTTTCATTCCTCAGGGGAAATTGTCGTCTGTTAGGGTACCAGTGGAGCTTGGCCCCGTTGTCTCTTCTTTCACATCATCCAAGAAAGACAAAATGAGAGAGAAAAAAGAATAGAATTTAAGGAAGAGCCACATTCAGCATCTCGTTTGTTGTATTTTAAAGGGTATTCCCATACTCCTTTGCTACTTTTTAAACGTTAATTTTTCAACTTAGGGTGCATGTCATCTCTCTCTCCCTCGTGTGTTATCAAAAGCATCTTCTTTTTGTTTGTGTGCCTGTGGGTTTGTCACAACGAATTTATTAACTTCTAGCCTTTAAAAGAAAAGTCAGGAGGCCTCTGGTTGTACCTGTGGCCATGTACCAGGATGGGGACTTCCCAGGTACACATTCCGGCCCGGTCGCCTGGAGGGCAGGCAGTTCTCACCTGAGCCTCCTGACAAGCCGAAGGAGACACAGGTGGGCCGGGACAGACTCGCATCAGGCGGAGGGTTCGCAGAGGGTCAGACTGCTCAGGTAGTGTGCAGCTCTGGCTCTGCCTGGCGCTCACAGGGCCAGGATCTGTAAATACGGGTGACCTTGCAAACTTGGCGGCCTTTGCTGAAGGCAGTCCTGGAGACGCTGGCGTAATGATGACCGCCCTGCCCGTTCTCGTTCACACCTTCTCTGCTTGTTCTTAGTTGTACTAAGTGGCTGTCCAGTGTTCAGTTCTTTTATACATTTTTCCATTAAGCGACTTGATCATTCTTCATTCACTTTGGGTTTCTTCGAAGATTACTATCTGTATCCCTACAGTCATTTCATACACTTTTAACAGTGTACCAAGGAATCCACGTAATTATGTGAAATTATCCAAACACCTGTCTGATTTCCAGCCTTTGGATGCACGATGTTACATATTCATTGTCTTGGAAACAGTGTTTTATGAAAATTTGTGTCCTGAACGAGCTGAGGTCTTGGATGTGATGCCGACCGTCCCCATCCCCGGAGAGACTATTTTTACAGTGGTTCACTTGCGTAGTTTATTCAGAGACACCCAGATAAGGCTGACCCCAGAGTGCCCTGTGGACGGAGTTAGAACTGGATTTTCCAGAACGAGGGGAGGTAGTGCGGCAGGAGCCAGGATGCGGCCCGGACATCCAGGTTCTCCTGGGGACTCAGGTTTGTGAGCGATGGGCAGAGCTGAGATCCGAGCCCGGGGCTGCCTTCCAGAGCCGTTGGGCTTTTCTACCCGCTCAGTCCTGGCCCCGGGCGACATTATCTCATTTAATCCTCACGGTGCTCCTGTTAAAGAGATTGTGTGACGCGGGCAACTGGAGTCTCAGTTTGCCAAGTGGTTTTCTGCAGAACAAGCAAGAACGTTCCAGAGGCAGGACTCTGACACCTCCCAATGGGTCTGCCAGGAGGATGTGAGGAGTGGATAAAGGCAAAGCAAACGAAATTCGTTAGGGAAGCACACACACAAGAAAACAAGCACACGTAAGTCGTCTCCGCTCTCCTCTGCCCATCAGGGCCGGTTACCGCTGTAACCAAGAGAGGCACTCGCTTCGCTCACGCTGCACTAAGTTTTGAGCCTTGGCTGTTTTTACTGATTAGCCCCTTTTGAGATCGCTGAGGCTCAGTTTCCTTCAAGAAGAATACAGCTTGAACATTTTCATCTCAGACACTCCTGAGGAAGGGTTTGATTCTCTGGGTTGTGGCTGCCTGAAGGGGATATGGCCTGTCGGGGGCTGAGGGAGAATGGGGGCTGCTCAGCTCTGTGGTGAATCGTTTGTGAGGAGCAGCAGAGCCGAGCAGCAGGACAGTGGACGTGGCGTGGAAGCAGCCTCGGAAGGCGGCCGTGGGACTGTGCCGCAGCGTCCCTCCAGGACAAAGTCCACAGCATCTGGGCTTGGCTTCCCCAGGCAGCTGGAAACAGGCCGAGTGGTCAGCCGTGCGAGTCCTGTGAAGAGGGGGTTTCAGCTCTGTTGCTGCAGAAGGGAGGTACTTGAGCACCTGAGGTAAAGGATGATGGGGAAAGGAGAAGGTGCTGGCAGAGCAGGCGTGTTTCTGGGGCTGCCCTGCCCACGCCTGGACAGCAGAAGGCGGTGAAGAACGGGCACTTCACACTGCAGAGCATCGCGCCCAGGCCCAGTCTCAGCCTGAGGTCCAGGTGGCTCCTGTGGCCCCGCCCTATGTGTGAAGGTCCATTTCTGGGATTTAGAACTTGCCCTGGAGATAGGTCCAGAACCTCTGCCCTGGGTGCGTCTGTGCAGCACAGGACCAGGTGGATGGCATCGGTGTCTCGGACACTGTGGCTCCAGGGGCACTGCTGTGAGAAGCAGAGCAAACGTCCTTCCAGAGAACTTCTCAATGAAGGGACACGCCCTGCCTCTGACCTACGCACCCTTGGTACCCACTGTCCTGCCGGGTGGGGTGGTCGCTGTCTCGGCGCCCACTGTCCTGCAGGGTGGGGGCTGTCGCTGTCTCGGCGCCCACTGGCCTGCTGGGTGGGGGCTGTCATCTTGGTGCCCACTGTCCTGCCAGGTGGGGGCTGTCGCTGTCTTGGCGCCCACTGTCCTGCCGGGTGGGGGTGGTCGCTATCTCAGCACCCCCTGTCCTGCCGGGTGGTGGCCGGTTGCTGTCTCGGTGCCCAATGTCCTGCCGGCTGGGGGTGATCACTGTCTTGGTGCCCACTGTTCTGCCGGGTGGGGAGGTGGTCACTGTCTCGGCACAGGTGAGCCACTCCCTTGACCTTTCCTTCTGCCAACCAGATCCCTGGTTCTGACACTTCTGGGCCTTTCAGAGCAAAGTTGAAGAATTACAGGTCACGCTCGAGGACTCGTGCCAGAGGAGGACAAGCACACAGTGGCAGGACCTTGGAGTTCTCGAGCGGGTCCGGGGCAGGTGGACAAGGACTGGGTGCACCAGCTCGCTGCTCTCAGGGGCCCAGTCGGCCCAGGCAGGCTGCATGAGAAGCCGTGCCACAGGAGGAGGGGGAAGTTGGAGAGAGGCCCTGGGTGCTGGGGGTGGGGCGTGGAGGGCTAAATTACACTTTACGTAGGGTTTGCGCAGGCATCTGGGTAGAGTCTAGAGATTGACAGTGACCAGTGACCGTGGTTGATGGCAGCACTGAGGACTCCTCTGGCAGTCTGCTGTGTAACGAGGCTGCAGCTTTGAAGCGGGAGGTTGGGTTCTCCACATTTATAAAGGAGAAACTGAGGCTGGAGAAGGGCAGTTAGAGCGTAGGAGTGCACACTGGCTCATGGAGACGGGGCTGACGGCGGATCAGCAGCCTGAACCAGGACTGGGCTCAGCAAGGAGCAGCAGCACCCGTGGGTGGGTGTAGGTGACCCTCCTTCGGGGCCAGTGGAGGGGACCAGAGGCCTGCATGCAGCCGGCTCGCTGGCAGAGGGAGACCACACTGCCTTCGCAGGTGGAGCTGGTCATCTATCCTTTTTCTGAAGAATTCGCTGCAGTGTGAATAAAGTGTCCCCCAGATGCCTGGTTGTCTCCCCGAGACCTGGGTGTCTGTCGGGCCTGTGCAGGGCCTGGCCGTCTTAGGCTGCCTTCCGGAACCCGGGTCTCGGCAGTGACTGTTTTCTAGCCTAGTCCAGGCTCACTGTCACTCTGAACTAGCTTGGATACTTCAGTCAGACGCGATCCTTGATCAGAATGCTGGAAAGCCGTGTGCGGACGAGGGTGTGGGGCCGGGCCTGGGCCAGCTCCTGAGCTGGTGTCTCGGTGAGGTCCCGCCTCACCCTTTCGCACTCTGACCTCCCTCACTGACGAGTCCTTTCTGTCCTCAGTCTCCCCGGCGATGCTGTCACAGTGACAGTCGTGCGGAGTTGGCACATTGGCATATCAGGA